TTCTTGAGCCCATTAAAGAGCTGAAGCCCCCAAGGGGGCTGAACTCTCATTGGCGATAAGCCCCTCTAAGGAGAGGCCACGTGAACAGTTCACCTTGGCAGAGCACAGCAGAAAGAAGTGGGCAAGGAGAAATCAGCTAAAATTTCAGCAAATTCTAAAGGACCGACTGTGGGCTAGTGTATCAGTTTAGAAGAGTTGGGAGCCCAGACCAAGCTCCTCTTGGGAAGCCTGTGCCAGGTATTTGCAAGAAAGACTGAGGGTGGAAGACGGGAGAACCCTCAGCGCTGCAGGCATGCAAGAGGGACTGGCCGCCCCTGGGGATGGGCTCGAGACACTCCCACATCCCAGAACCTTCCATCAGACAGAGCAAAAGCCACTGGGAGGAAAGCTGCCGACCCTTTCATCCCCAGAGTCATGTGGAAGGGTGAAAGAAAAGTCCCTTCTTCCTTCCTGTCCTGGGAACTAGACATGAATCTGGGCTTCTGGGGTTGGAGTGGAAGCAGAGAGTGCCTGCCCGGGGAGAAAGGAAGCTTCCTGGGCTCAGGATCTTGCACCAAATCAAGCCAGAGGTTGGCTGCTGCTAGGGCAAGAACCGAGAAATCTCATATACTGTAGGTGGGAATGTGAAACAGTGCAGTCTGGCAGTTCCTCACATGACTCAACACAGAGGTCACAAATGACCCAGCAATTCCACTCCTGGATACATACTCAGGAGAAATGAAAACATAAGTTCACACAGAAACTTGTGCAAGGATGTGCATAGCAGCATTATCCACAATAGCCACGAAGTGGAGACACCCCAAATGTCCACAACTCATTATGAATAAAAACGTGGTCTATCCACACAATGGAATATTACTCAGCAATAAAACAGAATGAAGCACTGACACATGCTACAACGTGGATGAATCTTTGAAACATGCTAAGACAGTCGCAAAAGACCACATATTGTACAATTCAATTTATACAAAACGTCTAGAATAGGCAAGTCTACAGAGAAAGAAAGCAGATTAGTGGTTGCCATGAACTGGGGTCAGGAAGGAGTGGGAAGCAACTGCCTGAGGGTTCAGAGGCTCTTTTGCAGGTGAAAGAAACGTTCTAGATTTGCAATGATGGTCGCACAACTCTGCGAATGTACTAAAACCCTGTGAATTTGCACTTAATTGGGTGAATTGTGTGGTATGTAAATTATATGTTATTAAAGCTGTGACCAAAAAAAAAAAAAAGGAGGAGGAATAAAGACTTTTCCAGGCAAACACAAGTTGGAAAGACTTATTGCCAGCAGACCTGAACTAGAAAAAATGTTAAAGGAAGTTCTTCAGGCAGGGAAGATGTTGTCAACTGGAAACTGAATCTACACAAATAAAGAATGCCCAAAATGGTAAAAATGAGCTTAAATATAAAAGACTTCTTTCTTATTTTTAATCCCTTTGAAAGATAACAAAGTATTCAAAACAAAACTAGTAACAAGGCATTGTAGGATTATAACAAATACAGAAGTAAAACATCTGGGAACAATAGCAAAAAATGGGAGAGAGGAAATAAAAGCAACTAATTACACGTGAATTGCATTATATTTTCAAGAGGAACTGTGATAAGCTAAAGATGATATTGACAACTCTAAAGCAAGCACTAAAAATTAAGTAAAAAGAAGGTACAATAAATAAGACAAGAGTGGGGGTAAAATGGATCATAAAAAAAATACTTCATCCAAAAGAAGGCAGGAAAAGAGTAACAAAGAGTTAAAACGAATAGAAACTAACAGAAAGCTAGATTTAAATCCCACTATATCACTAAATATTAAATGTAAATAGGGTAAATAACACAATTAATTAAATTTCTTTAAAAAGCAAGAATCTATTTATGCTATCTACAAGAAACTTACTTTAAATAAAAAGTCACAGATTAGTTAAAAGAATGGACAAAGTTTATGATGCAAACTCTGATCAAGAGAAAGCCAAAGTGGCTGAATTAGTGTTAGACCATGTAGATTTCAGAGCAAGAAACATTACCAGAGATAAAGAGAGGTATGACATAATGATAAAGGAGTCATACATTGAGAAGACATAGCAAACCTAAACATATATCCACCAAACTACAGAGCTTCAAAAATAAAACAAAAATGGATAGAAACAGAGGTAAAAATGGGAATATTCACAATTATAATTGAAGACCTCGACATTCATCTCTCAGTAAGAGATGAAAGAAGTATGCAGAATATTAGCAAGGATATATTCGATTTCAATAATACTATCAACCAGTTTGTCCTGATTGGCATTCTTAGTGCATGCCACCCTACAACAGCAGACTATACAGTACTTAAGTGCACATAAAACACTCATCAAGACAGACTGTATGCTGTGTAGTAAAACAAATCTCAACAAATTAAAATAATTGAAATGATCCAAAGTATGTCTTCTGGCCAAAAAGAAATTGAACTAGAAATACATAATAGAAATATATTAAGAAAAATGGGAATATCTGGAAATTTAAAAACACACTTCTGAATAACGCACAGGTGAAAGAAAAAATCATAAGGAAATTAGAAAAATATTTTGAACTGAATGAAAGTATAGTCATGATATATAAAATCTGTGAGACACAGAGGAAAAATTATGGCAATAAATGCTTATATTGGAATGTAAGAAAGGTCTCCAATCATAATCTAATCCAAGTCTAAGCTTTCATCTTAAGAACAGAGAAAAAGAAATGTGAAGCAAGCAAAATAGAAATAAAGATATTAACAGAAATCAACACATTTGAAAACAAAAAGATAAAAGGAAAAATCAATAAACCAAAAGCTGTTTTTTAAAAAAAAATCAATAATATTGACAAACATCTGAAAGACTGATCAAGAAAAAAAGAGAAGACACAATTACCAATATTGGTATGAAATGAAAGAAGGGAACTCAGCACGTGTCCTACAGACGTTAAAAGGATAACAGAAATGGGACGAACCAAGTCCTTGAAAGACGCAAACTAACAAAGCTCACTCATAACTTGAGCAGTCTTTTAGATAAAGAAAAGAAATTCAGGGCCGGCCCGGTGGCGCACTGGATAGTGCGCCGCTTGGGAAGCGTGGCGCTCCCGTCCAAGGGTTCGGATCCCACATACAGACCGGTTCCCGCTCACTGGCTGAGCGAGGCGCGGGAGCAACACCGAGGGTTGCAATCCCGTTGCCGGTCCCCGGTCCGGTACGGGGGCAACACTGAGGGTTGCGATCCGTTGCCGGACACGGAAAAAAAGACAAAAGACAAAAAAAAAAAAAAAAGAAAAGAAATTCAAAAGTTTGAATTTGTAGTAAAAACAAAGAAAGCCCTAGGCACAGGTGCACTCACTGATGAATTCTAACATTTAAGGAAGGAATAATACCAATTCTATACCAACTCTTCAAAAAAAAACAGAAGAGAACACTTCCACAATCACTTTAGACAAAGATATTATAAGAAAAAAATATTCCTCATAAAGAAGGATGCAAAAATCCTTAACAAAATCAGCCATTCACATTCAGCAATACATAAAAAGGATAATACCATATTATCATAAGAGGTATATGTAAGAAATGCAAAATTGATTTAATATTTTTAAAATGAGCCCGTTTAATTCATCATATCAGTATACTAAAATGAAAAAACACACGTAGTCATCTCAAAAGATGTAGACAAGTCTGATAAAATTCAAACACCATTCACAATAAAAACTTTCAGCAAACTAGGAATAAAAGAAAACTTCCTCAATCTGATGAAGGGACTCTACATAAAAACCTATAGCTAACACCACACTTAATAGTGGAAAACAGAATGCTTTTCCCCATTACAGGAGCCAATGCAAGGAAATCTATTCTCACCACTTCTCTTCAACACTGGGCAAGAAAAACAACTAAAAAATATACCAAATGGAAGTAAAGAAACAAATCATCTTTATTCACACATGATATGATCGTCTGAACAAAAAAAAAATCCCAAAGAATCCACCTAGAACACATAAGTGAGTTTAGCAAGTTAACAGGACACAAGATCAAGAGAACAATACAAATGAGAGAATACAATAGAATAGTACTCAGCAAAAAAGAAAAAAGAAAAAGAATTAACTATCGACAGGTGCCAGAACATGGACAAAACTCTAAATAATTATGCAAGTAAGAGAAACTTAATATAAAATAAAATTCATACTATATGATTCCTTTTATGTGCAATTCTAGAAAATATGAACGAATCCACAGTGACAGAAGGCAGGTCAGTGTCTGCCCAGGGATATGGTGGGGTTGTCGGGGAGGAACAGGAAGGAAGGACCGTGAACAGGAAAGAAAGCAATTTTAGACGATGGTTGGACTCACCATCTTGATTGCAGTGATGGTTTTGCGGGTATATACCTATGTCAAAATCTGTATTTACCATTAAAAAAAGAAGTCCCAAATCCATCAATGACATACTAGATTGGTTGTCTTGGGCATTACTTAAGAGAAAGGTGAATTATCATAGTTCTTTGGGAAAGCATGTGAAATTGTGTATCAAAAAGTCTTTAAGGTGCTCCTAACCTCTAACCTAGGAATAACATATCTAGGATTCAATCCCGAAGAGATAATTCTAAATACAGAGAAAATTTTATGCTTAGAGTTGTTCAATGCAATATTATTTATAATAATGAAATACTGGAAACAACCTAAATACGTATGAATTAAGTCTCTGCACAATGGAATATTATGCAAACAAGATGATGCTTAATAAGAATTTATTCAATAAAGGAAGGCGAGTATCTCATATAAGGGGAACAGGCAGAAAACAAAACTGTGGTGGATAGAATGCTCTTACCAACGTAAAAAAATTTTTAAAAATGAAAAGGAAAATATTCTAAAATTTTAATCATTTGTTTTATGGATATTCGAAGAACACAATTATTTTTATCTTTTTTTTTTGTAGATTTAAAAGATTTTCCATAATGAGAATGTATTAGTTGTGTGAAAGAAAAAACTATTTCAAAAAGAAAACATATCTGGTGCTGGCTGGTTAGCTCAGTTGGTTAGAACATGGTGCTAATAACACCAGTGTCCAGGGTTCAATCCCCGTACCAGCCAGCCACCAAAACAAAAAAAAAAGAAAGAAGGAAAGAAGGAAGGAAAGAAAGAAAGGAAACATATCTGATATTTTTAGAACTCTGGAGATCACCGGTGTCCCACCCATGCCCAGAAGAGACCCCGAGTGGCAGAGAGGGCTGGTGATCCAGGCGGATGATGCTGGGCTGCCTGGGGACTCTGCAGGCTGGGTAGAGATCATCCCTTATGTGTAGACGGAAGCTATGAAGCAGGTGCCTGTGTTTCTGGGCCATTCCCTTACTATGGCTAAAGAAGAAACCATCTCTTCTTTCTTCTGAGTTTGCTCCAGCAAACATGACAACTGCCCAACATCAGGACATGGTACCCCCCATGACAAGGTTGTGAGCATGAGGCTCTTGGGGGCTCTTTTAAAAGCCATGAAGACTAAGCACTTCTTAAATTAAACAGACATCCCTGAAAACATGAAAAGGTAGGTGCTGAAACGAAGCTGGGTTCCCCTCTCCTTTGGACTCTCAGGAATAAATAAATACATACAAAGAAAGAAGTACATAAAAGGCCTTCGAGAGACTTCTGGTCAAGACTGTGGAATAGGCGGTCCCCAGGGTCACTCTCTCCCACAAATCAACCAATTTACAACTATGAAAAAGCAATGGCAGCCAAGCTGGGGCCGCTAGAGCTCACAGGAAGAGGAGGAGAGACCTATGGAGTGCATGAAGGTGGGAGAAGCCACAAGGAAAGAAAGAAAAAACCCTTCCAGCTGTTTCAAATCCAACCATTTCCAGGCTGGAACAGCTGAGCGCACAGAGCAGGAGCTGGCAAAAGCCACAGCTGTGCCTTTCAGATGACGTTCTTGGAGGCGGCAGGGGAGAAGAGGGCCTTGGTGGCCTCCAGGTCAGCAATACCACTAATAGGTTTCCTGTGAACCCACATAGGACCGAGGAGCCACAACAACTGAAAAAAAGGAGCCACTCAGAGGTGGGTGAGTTATCACAAGGGACCAGAGCACAGCCCATCCCATAGGAAGTGTTTGCAGAACAGGCGGCGGGGTAGACGAGCCCACCAGGGGAGCACTGGGACACAGCAAGGACAGCTGACTTGTCCCCCAATCAGCATAGGATCACTCAGAGGAGATTGGCCAGGAATATAGAATTGCATGGGGAGCAATCTGATGAAAAGACTCAGATCCAGACCAGTGTTTCTACACAACCCGGGTGCAACGAATTTCACTAGAACTGGAAGTACCTATAAAGTCAACTCTCCCGCTGCTCATTCGGGAGAGGGTGACGCTGGTAGGGCCGAGGCCGTGGGTTCGGATCCTATATAGGGATGGCCGGTGCGCTCACTGGCTGAGCGTGGTGCAGACAACACCAAGCCAAGGGTTAAGATCCCCATACTGGTCATCTTTAAAAAAAAAAAAAAAACTGAGCTGCACAAAAAGCCTTCCCCAGGGAATCAGCAGCAAAATAGCAATTTAGCTCAACCAGAGAGCTCAAGTACTCAAAAAAAAAAAAAAAAAAAAAAAAAAAAACTGAGCTGCACAAAAAGCCTTCCCCAGGGAATCAGCAGCAAAATAGCAATTTAGCTCAACCAGAGAGCTCAAGTACTGGTCCCCACAGGAAGTACCCCCATTTTAGAAGTAAGCAAAGGACAACAAATTAGTTCTAGTGCAGAGTTTCAGTGGTGGGAACAGCGAATAATCCAACACAGAACTGAAAGGAAAAGCAAAGTACCCACAACCAGAGACAAAGTTTCATATTAACTAGTAAAGGTCTCATTTCACCAAAGAACACCTAGAAGGACTGGAAGTCCCCTGGGCTACCAAGCCAGGAATGGGGCCTCAGCCATGCTCCCCGACACCCACGACCAGTCCTGAGAGTGGGGGTCAAGGGCCTCGGCCACCCCCCGTGACAAGTGCAACCACCCCAACAACAACCATTGACCCACTGCTGGAAGCCCCCCAGTCTCCCCTGTGGGAATGAGGGGGTGCCACAGGCCTCAATCCCACCCCTCCTCCTTCCTCCTTCTTCCGTCACATTTCCTTCCCCTTTCCCCTCTCCCACTCCCTCCTAACTGCTCTGCAACAACATCATAGAGAGTAAAAAAATAATATTAATAAAATAAAATAAAGAAAAGGCCTTCGAGGGGCAAGCTGCGTCTGCTTCACATAGCAAAGACTACATGTGGTCGTTCATGATTCAAACACTATAAAAACGGCAGAGTACCTAAGAAGGATTTTGAAAGGGACAGCAATACTATTAGACCGAACAGAATCTGGGCATAGACCCCACCGGGAGTTGGTGCACGAACCCCCTGCGTGGCGAACACCAGCAACAGCTCCTCATCACAGCTCGTTGATGCTATCTGCCCCTGGCCAGCCACCGCATCCCTTCCCAGGGTGCCAGGTAAGCTGCAGAACTCTGGGACTGAGGCCCAACTGTCTTCCTGCCGAGCCTGATACCCCCAATGCCCACACATCTGTGCAATCACACTGTTCTTGGTGAATATGTGTCGAACGGATACACAGTAGCAGATGCTTGGAAGAGCACCCAGAGCCACCACCCTTTCCAACCCACATCACCACCACTCTTTATGTTGCTGTTTTGCTAAACGCCACTGGAAGGTCCTCTGGCCAAGAGTCTCACCTTCTTCCTGCTCTGAGATCAGAGCCAGGGTGCAAGCTACCAACGTTGCACACCTGCCAATTGTGCTTTTTCACAAAATTCTGAAATGGATACACCAGCTGGCCACGTGGAAAGTTCCACAGACACCTGCAGCCTGCACTCAGAGAGAAGCATCAAACTCAGACACATGAAGCCACTTCAGACCTCCTTTTGAGTTTTAGGTACAGCCCAAGTTGTAACTCTTCCTGATGATAGTTCATCATCGAAAAGCTCAGGTGCCCACTGAGAAGGTTGTCTCAGGGGACTTCAGTGCAGCCACAATGGATTCCAGGATCCTCCCGCTCTGCCCCCTCCCCCCATCATCCTCATGATAATGCTGGATCTCAGCACAACACTATACAGAAACAGTGTGGACCTGGGAGTGTAACACATGCAGCGTTCCGCAGCCAGCCCACCACCCCTGGGGGTTCACACAGCTCTCCACCAGCAGGAAGACCCTGGGAGTTCTTCCAAGTCAAAGCAATCCCTGGTCCACCAGCTACCAGGCAAGGCAGGTGTCTAGGAAAAGTAGCAGCTCAAAGAGAATTTTAATAAGGTCACGGCCCATGGAAAATGCCACTTGGGGCAGGATTACTCTTCACCTGGAGTAAACATTTGATTAGTCCAACTAAAGGCTCTAACCTCAAAATGAGCCACATGCTAGGCACACAGTTCACTTAATCAACAAAGCCTCCTAATCTTGAACATTCGCCACCTTGCCCCTGAGTCAAATCCTTCATCCTGAGCTGGACAGAGACACCTGGCTTGGGACTTCTTGCACCAGGTTTGGATTCTGACTTGACTTTGAGGCCAGGTTTTTCGTTAAGACCAATCCTCTGTGTCACTGATATGGTTTCCTAGGACACCCCAGCTGTGCCTGCTTGGAAAGTGGCAACCACAGAAAGTTTCTGATGTCATTCCCTGTGATGTCATAAAATGCTGCCAAGCATGAATTCAACTCCTAGGAGCCTTCCAGGGGGAGGCCAAAGGAACACAAACATGGCCCTGCCTTCAGTGCAGTCCTGTGTTTGATAAATAAAAGTCCTGCAAGTAAGGCAGGCCAGGCAGCACCTGCTCCTCGGAAAGCAGCGTGGGGCACCTCTTCTCTGTGGCCCTGGGAGCACACACCTCGCACTGCTCCAAGCTCAACTCAGTGTGCTGGACCAACGCACCATGCTTTAGAGATAAGAATCACCTGCCCAATAGGTTCACTGGGAAGACTGGGGGGCTCACACAGGCTCTTTCAAAAAGACATATCATCTCCGTGGTTGGTGTCCTGGACTCAACAGGGCCGTTCCAAAGTCTGGATGGGAAATGAGCACCACCACACACACCACAGCTGGCTCACGTGTCTGGAAACCATGGAGACGAGGAAAAATAAAAAGATGAGGCGTCCGTCCTGAGCGGAGTTCCCAGCTCACAGACGTCCACGGTCGAGATCAGCCATCTAAGAACTTCTACAGGACACTTCTGCATATCGTGGAGGGGCTGGCTCCAAGATGCAGAGGCTGCAGAATAACTTTTAATTCCTTCTTTACAGCTCCCTTGAGGCAGGGGTAACACCGTGTGTTTAGATATTGTCAGACAGGACCTTAAAGCGAAGGTGGGGTCTTCCAAGGGTGTCCGAATAACTAACATGTCCCCTGCTGCGGTGCCTCCCTCAGATTAAAAGGTGTGCTCTCAAATCATAATAGAATTGGGGGAAAGAAAACTTAGATGCACGTGTGCACACCCACGTACCCTCAACCTTAAGAACGAACGCACCGCCTTCCACAAGATGCATACCTGTCTGCGTTCTGACCTCCCCAGAGGTCCTCACACAAGTGCTGACCTTTTATGTGCAAAGCTGTAGACGGAAACCAAAGGCCCTTCCATGGCCTGGTTCCTGTCTGTTGTGCTGCTCTCCTCAGCAACTAAAGTAGCATTTGACTACTGGTCTGCTCAAAGGCTTAGACCTATGGGGAAATTCTCAAATCTACAACTCTGATCTTGGTTTTGAGTGAGAAATATCCACTTCCTTGTGGCTGTTTTCCCCACGCTATGAACCAATAACAAAATCAAAGGCGACAGTGATGTCCAGATCCTTAGCTGCTGGCACAGTTCCACAGCGAGTCTCATTCACATCTCCACAAGTAGCAGCAAACTCATTTATTTATTGCCAGATTACCTGTGGCACTCGTTCCACCACAGCCCTGCCGGGCCTCCGTCAACAGTGGGTTTTCTTTGAACAAATGGAGAAACTGAGGTACAACGTAATAATGACAGCATCTTTCAAGAAAACAGTGCTGGAAGTCAGTCCATAAGCCATTGTTTCCCAGAAACACTTGAGTTCCTCACGCAAGAAGTGATGTTGACGGGCAG